TGTGTGTGTGTGTGTGAGTGGGTGTGTGTGTGTGTGTATGCAAGCGCACATCTGTTTGCATGTATGTATATGTCAAAAGGTCTATACACTGACAGATACTGACAAGTCTATTACTGAAAACAGATTCTCTAACAGTGAGAAATAACCATAGCTGTTCAAATGTACTAAGCTTAGAATTTTGAAATGTTTTTTACTGCAGTTTCTCACTCTGTGGTATCAGTTGCATGTGTCCGAAAAATAGTTTGTAGAAATTCAAATTCTAAACATTGGGCAAAGAAAAACCAAAAAACAAACAAAAAAAGATGCATAATAATTAAGGTACAATGTACACATATTAAAGGAATGAGGATTTTTTTTTCTCTCCTGACAAATTTTGCCTTTTGGGCTTAGAATGATTGAACAGCATACCGACCATCTATAATATACAAGAGTGAGCGTATCATGTATATTTTCTGAAACAGAGTACTTGTGTAGCAATGCAACAAAATGAGTCGCTCGCCACACTCAGCTGTTTTAAGATATATTAAGGGAAAACTTCAATTTACATTACATTGCATGTTTTTTTTTAGTCCTAAACTTCAGATGACTTAAAATTTGGTACTAAAGCAGTTACACTAAGACAGTTTTCATCCACTTGAAGGACTTGAACAGATTATTTTTAAAAAATCAGCTACCAAAATTTTGTGTCATATTATGAGACATTTAAAGCGTCATATTGCCTCACGATTTTCAGCAAAAACCTGTACTTGAATTCATGACGCTAGAGCACATGAGTAAGGGAGTATGCACATAAGATCTCTTTTTGAAAACATACAAGTTTTTATTTTTTATTTTGTGGGTGCACAAACATCATATTAAAGATAATACCTGAAATACATTCACAGTCACTGCAATAATTCAGGTAAATATATCACCCTGCAGAAATGATCATCCTTGTAAATAAGTCTCAAATCAACTTAAAAAAATATTTAAAAAACCAACATACCAGTTTCTTGTATTCATCATGAACTTCCCTGTAACCCGGAGAATCTTCAATACTTGGGTCAAAGACTGAAAAATAACAAAATAGTATAATGACAACATAATGTTCACTGTTCTACATTAAAAGCAAGTCACATCAGCAGTGAAAATATTCCACCTCATGTCCATTCCATAGAAGATGGACGTAAAAATATTTCTCATGTTTAGTGAAACAAAAATGCACTCTCTACATGTTTTGTCTTGCATCTGGTGAAATCAGGCGCTCGTCAAAATAATAAAATCGAAAAAACTGACATTTTTCTGTATATTGGGTAAATTTTAATGTGTTTTAAATTTCTCCTCAATACCTATTGTCTAATTACGAACAAGTTCCAGCTTGAACAAAACTTAAATGTTGATCAAAGGCACAAAAAATGTAGATTTGCAGTTTCAAAGGACACTTTGACTTTGGAAGTCACCATTTTCATGCTAAAAGAAATCAGCGCATGTAACACCAATTCTAAAATAACTACACTGGCTGCCAATAAAAGAAAGGATCAAATACAAAACTGCCGTTCTCTGTTTTAAATGTATAAATGATAGTGCACCCTTTTATCTTAAAACATTCCTGGAATTATATCATCCTCCTAGAGCCCTTAGATCGGCCTCTGATAATCTGATTCTTAAAACTCCAAAACAAAAGTACAAAACATACGGTGAGCGTTCCGTTTTTGTTTTTTGGTCCCCAGGTACGGAACGAACTCCCATATAAAATAAGATCTTCCCCAACAATTTCCATTTTCAAAAATCAGCTGAAGCATTTCTTATTCACCAAAGCATATCTGTCATAATGATGTACTGCAATATAATTATATATATGCATGTGTATGCCAGACTGTGAGACTGAAGAAATAGCGTGTAAGAATGAGAGAGAGAAAAAGAGAGAGATAGAGAGAGAAAAGAGAGAGAGATAGAGAGAGAGGGAGAGAGAAAGAGAGAGAGAGAGAGAGAGAGAGAGAGAGAGAGAGAGAGAGAGAGAGAGAAAAAGTGTTTTTCTATCTGAATACAATGAATGTTTTAATGAATGTTTCTAGCTACTCACGTTTCAACTTTATTGTGACCGTTCGTGAACTTTTATTGCATTGTATATTTTTAGTGAACACATTTCCAACCTCACTGCGAGACTATTTTTCTTATATAAATTTTTACACATATCCATTTATATTATATGTATAATACTTTGTTTTACGTACACGCATGGCAATTAATTTTTAAGATGTGATGTCTTTTTCGTTGTAATGCGCATTGAGCATCTTTTAGAAAATGGAAATGCGCAGTATAAATGCTATTTATTATTATTATTATTAATATTAATTTTACATCTGCTACCGGGTGATCCCCATCTCTTTTCATTGGAAATTTCTCATTTTGGGTATTTTTTTCATCACAGGCATGACAAATGAGCAAGCTTTAAGATTATGCCAATCACTCCATGATCCCAAAAACTGACATGTGCCTGATTCCGCTGCAATGTGACACATATATATCATTTTCCTGGGGGGGGGGGGGGGATATTATGTTAGACACTTTTGGAAATCATTTCTGCACAGCATTCTCTATAAACGTTTTTATAGACTTTACGTATGCATATTCACGTGTACAGATTTTTAACAACTACATTAAATGAGGTATTTGGACACAGTCTTTTTCGGAACGTATGTTAAAATATATTTAAAGTACGGTAACAAAAGTTTGCAAAGCTCATTCCATTTAAGAACTATTTTTAGATTCCCAAGGTGTGCTTACAAAATACAAATACAAATTTGACAAATATTGACAAAAAAGGATAGTTGACCTCTCAAACTACTGCAAATTGAAGAGAAAACATGAACATGAAACACGTGTGGAAGTAGAAAAGACATAGAAATTATTATGGGAAGTGAAAATGGGCCAGAAGTGGTCAATAGGAGGTAAGAGGGACTTCTTGTTTGCCACTTGAAATGCAAGCCAGGCGGAGGGAAATAGTTAAAGAAGTAACCATAATATCTCTAGCAGGTACATTCATTTTAAACTGCATTTCATTGGATTTGAAGAGTAAGAAATATTTAAACCATCATTCCTTTGCAACAGGGGTCGGTAATCTTTTTGGTCAGCTAGGCTACATCGGAGTTCAGAGAAGACCCACTAAGCCAGAAAAAAAGGAGATGTCGAAAAAAGAACTATTTGAAGCTTTGAGAATAGCAGAGCATGCAATGTCAATATTTTATATATCTATATGTAATTGACCCTGACTTAAACCACCCCCCCCCCCTAAAATCTGCCTTGGTTGTTAGCAACAGTTATATATATATATATATATATATATTATTATTATGTGTAATCAAACTTTTAAAACAAATGATTAATGATGTAGGGCGATGCAGGTAAGGGTGTGGGCTTCTCATCGCTGATGAATACATATTCATTGGTATTTGCTCAAAACCAATAGGGGAATGTATTTTTGCCACAAATGAAACTATGTATAAGTGATAAAGCTAATTAGTCCGGACGTTATACAAGTAGAAAGGCATTAGGCTGGAAGGAAAAGGTGGCCGACCCCTGCTTTACATCATCAGAAGAATAGAAATGCCCAGATGTTGTTATACTCTTTCTTTATCTGGTTGCATATATATATGTTTACTCTGTGATATTAATGAAAATACAAAATGCAGGTTACATGTGTTTGAGAGTTAACAAGAATGCACTGAAAGCAGGGATAGAGGAAACCATCCATCTCAAAGTTCTGAGCTCAGTAATGTGGTATTCCGTGTGAATACCCACTTGGCAAATTGTAATCGAATACCCTGAAAAGAAAAATAAACGAATACTTTTGGATTCTGAAATCATGGCTGTATGTTTATTGTTTGTGAAACTCAGTTTGTTTATTGCCTATTCTTCAATATTCTCCAAAAATTGAGGTTGGGGAGTTGGGAAGGATTGGGAATCACCTGGAAGTTTAAAGTTTAAGACTAGTCGCTCGTATGACCTTATGCAGTTGCGAGCGCCGTAAAAACTCTATTAAAACTAAGCTAAAAATGTTTAAGATTGTGTTTTAGGCCTATGTATTGACTAATGCAAATAAAACAATGAACGAGACTGTGGTGAACTTAAATTTGAAAAAAAAAAAAGGTGAAGTGAGTACACAAGACAAAATCTGTATTTCTATAAACTCAAAACAGCTCATGAGACCTGTATTTCTATATTATTTTGCTATTAGTATATGTTCTGATAGGAATTAAAAAAAAAAATTGCACACACAAAAAAATCATTATCTTTTATTATAAGATTTTAAAAAAAAAAGGGGGGGGGGGGGGCATCTTCAAAGGACACCTTGAAGGTCTCACTTGGTTGCTCACAACCAGTTCGTATGATTTTCTTCAAGATGTACATTTTTTACCCAGACATTATATATATATTTTTATTTTTCTATTAGGCCTACAACTACAACTGAAATTGCTCCACTTACTGAATGCTATTACAACTAGAACAAATTATTAAAAACAACCTTTGCCATTTATGATGCCTCAAAATTATTTTTCGATTAAGATTAGATGAGACAAGATATATTATATTACTTTCTTGTTCTAGTAGGAAATTCAAAAAAAAAAAGAAAAGAAAATCACTGAAAATCTCAGCAACTTAATATTGAGAGCAAAAAGTAAAATTTGGATTTCAAATCTGTTAGAAGTAGTAGAGATAAGGAATAAAAGTAATTATATATACATGTTCTAATTCTTATTCTAGATAAACCTTCAGGTACCACTCACTGAGGTGTCATTTTAATTAATTTGACTTATATTACCTTTGACGACACTCTTCGAGAGGAGTGGTCCCGGCCTAACTCCATAGAAATAACACTTGTAATCGGAAACAAAAACGGAAGTCGAGAAAAAAACCTGAAAGTGAAAAGGTAACCCAATGAGGGGAAAAAAAAGTTGAAAATATTGAAAAATTGAACCAAAAAAATTAATTAATAAATACTCAGCAACATTTTTTACCGATTTCCATTTTTGTTTTCAATCTTATTTCTATATTGGAGGTAGGCCAGGACCACTTCTCCCGAAGAGTGCCCCTTCATCATTCCAATCATGGTTTGGAGACAACGCAGAAAATCAGTAAATATTTAAGCCAATGAAACAGATTTGAACAAAGAGATCTCGAACAATCAACACTTTTTTAAGGCCATCTTTATTCGGATTCGTGTCCGAATATAACATTTTTTCAAATTCGGACACGAGTCCGAATAAAAAAAAATTCTTATTCGGACTCCGAAAAAATGTTATTCGGACTCGGGTCCCGAAAAAAGTTCTAAAGTGTCTTCCTTCTATAGATCTAAAGTTCAGTGCTTCCAATTTTCCGCCATTTTTTAGTTTCCCCCACACCTTATCTGCCGATCCAATGCCTGCCGCCTCATTGATACGCCCCCCCCCCCCCCCCACCCCCCATGTTTCCGACTTTCTTTGTTGTAGAAAAAGGTAAAATTGAAGATCAGCAGACCACCTGGCACCTGCACATTATGAGCTGTGTAAAAAAAAAAGAAGACCAATTCGTCCAAATACACAAGCCTGTGTCATCTCGATTGTTTACCAAGAAAAAGTTGTGTTGCTGTGTAGAGCCGAGCATACGGCAACTTTTGATTCCATAGACCAGCACACAATTCATTACGTAGATCTACGTCAAGACTAGCTTAGTATTGTAATAATGATCAGTTGCCGGGGGATAAAAGACTGACGCGCGTATGCGACGTTCAACACCCGGACCGATAGTGCACCCCCCTCCCCTCCCCGACACGCACACACAGCCACACGTGTGCAGGCCGACCATCCGACCCCGACACACGCTAACGAGCCATCTTTAATTGCTTCTGGTGACCTCTTGACAAATAAACATTTATTATAAGCGCTATAACTTTTCAGGCCGGCCTCAAATTCATCATAAGATAAAAACTCGGCTCCTGCACAAAACGCCATTTTGCCCTAAGTGATCCCGGTCTTTACCCAGCCTGAGGCGAGTCATGAGTGAGGCAGGACAGGAAGCCGGAGTCACGAGTCACAGGAAGTCGGAAGTGATGTCATGCTGGACAAGAATCAGAGTCCGAAAAACATTTTTTCATATTCGGACTCGAGTCCGAATAGTCACTTCGCACAGTCGCTTTTTTAAAGAGAGGAGTTAATCTGAAAAAAAAGTATTACGACTGAATAAACAAACTATTAAAAAAAGATGAGTGAAATAAAGATTATTTTGTCTTTTGACAACCCTTTCTTTTTATTTTTCTTCAAAACGCTGAAGTCCTGAAAGTAAAAAAACCCAACATAACAAAATATTTTTTAAAAAATGTAGGGTAGGCCTAATGACTTATTTAATCAAAATACATCTTTTTATTTTTAAAGGTTGAACCATTGAAAATAAATAAATGCAATACTGATTTTCAGTGTTATTTTTGTGTAAACAGAAAAGAAGCCTCAGTGGTATGAGGAGGAATAGTGGTGGCAGTGGAGCAGAGCGACTGAAGAAGAATGACAAGGCAGTCGAGGAGACGGCAGATCTAGAATCTATATCTGGAATCTAGAAGATCTAGATCTATAGCCTATCTAACATGAACGCGCCATAAAAAGGACAAGTACAAAAATATTAAAGCATTTAGAAATAAAATTGTGTAAACTTACTTAAGCATTTGCTTTCCATAAAAGAAAGCACTGGAACTTGGAACAGAGGGTTGCTCAGAAAGCAAATAAGCTCGTCTATCACATATTCCGACTTCTTCGCCGCCATCTTGAATCTATATGACGCCAGTGCATCACTACGAGAATAGTCGAGATTTCGCATTCTTCGTAGTGAATTCTTTTCATGAAGATAAAGGACTGATTTCGTTAGCCCACGCGTTATCACCGATGAAATTGCTGTAGAGAATGCTGCAGCGTTCTTTCTGGATGAATGCTCTGTATGAAATAGATCGATGGGCATTCCCATCATCGAAGCATCCTTCCTACAGTGACCAATTTATCAAGCCCGTTTGTTGCATTTTAATAAACTGCCTTGTGGCACAATCCTATTTTCCCGGCCTTCAATCCCCCCCTCCCTTCCCCCTCCCCCC